ACTCAGAGATATGGCTTTCAGATACGAGTTCACTCTCAATTAGCTATGGCGACTTCAGCGCCCAAACATCTCACTGTTCACATACACGGGATCACCCTGGATATCCCACACGCATCACTCTAWCACTCGAACACACACACACACTCACTACTAACTACAGCTATGGCAGCTCTCGCTGCATCTAACCTATCGCTAGACTAACTCCCTCTCTCTTGCCCACTRCGTCCTCCGGGCACATCTGCAGATCTCCTTGCACAAGTCGCTGTGGCAGCGCTTCCGCATGGCTCACGCAGGAATGAGTCAATGGCTGGGCGCTGCCTCTTGATTTATACTTCAGAAACTCGTTGGTCTGCCCTTTGCCATCGGCCCTTGGTGCTTACAGTCCCCCTGTGGTACTTGCTGGACCGAACTGGGACTGACTGGACCTTCTGCTGACTGACTGTGGACTCACCGCCATCCTACCCACGTTGTACTGCCTCCGTTGCACTGCGGTTTAGTCCACCACTTGCCTCGCCACTTGACCACTTGCCCACTTGCCTACCTTCTAGAAGGCCTACAGCTAGGCTTCCCGACTCACTAAGACTTCTACGCTACAGATCTACAGATCGAACCCCTGCTGCCTCTGGACCTACGACAGACCTACCAGCTGTCTACGAATACACAGGTCACAGGTTCAACTCCCGGGGTCCACACATATACTGTACATGGGTAAGGTGAGGTCTAGGGATCGAACCCTGGGCACTGGATCCGCTACTGCTAAAGGTGAAAACCGTTTCATTGTTGCCTAAACGGGTTTCCCGCCACGCACCCAATGGATACAACTCTAGTTTGCTCTTGACCAAGTCTGTCTTACCACAAGACCAGTAGAGTTCCCACTGCCTCTTGACGCACTCTCACTGCTCCTCGAGGCACTACTACTGGTAGTCCCGTAAATTCCACCCTAAACCACTACGAACTTTCCAACCTCCAAAACCAGTATAGACCAAATTCCTACACACCCACGATACTATAGCCCATTACTATATTCAAACTGTTTACGTTACGTGTGTCTAAAAATGAAACACTAAGGGCAATGCATGTAACAAAGCCAAAAAGAACAATACAAATTTCACTTACCACGAAATTCATGCAATAACAAATTCTTATAGGACTCCAAGCAGATAACAACCAGTCCCTCATCAGTGTCAAGGCTGCCCTCTCATCATCACTGTCCAAAACACTGTAAAGAGCCTTATGTCGCCTAGACGGGTTTCTCACCACGCACCCAATGGATACAACTCTAGTTTGCTCTTTACCAGGTCTCTCTTACCACCAGGCCAGTAGAGTTCCCACAGCCTCCTGTAGCACTGTCACTGCTCCTCGAGGCACTGCTACTGGTAGTTCCATGAGTTTCACCCTAAAACACTGCAAGCTTTCCAACCTCAAAACCAGTATAGACCAAATTACAAATATAGCCACAAATATTGATAACGCCCGTTCTTCTAGAACTCCAAGCAGATAACAACCAGTCCCTCATCAGTGTCAAGCCTGCCCTCTCATCATCACTGTCCACAACACCGTAAAGAGCCTTTGTTGCCTAGACGGGTTTCCCACCACGCACCCAACGGTTACAACTCTAGTTTGCTCTTTACAAGGTCTCTCTTAACACCAGGGAAGTAGAGTTCCCACTACCTCTTGTCGCACTCTCACTGCTCCTCGAGGCACTGCTACTGGTTTCAAGCGACAACAACCTCAATCATTACTCTAAAATACGACAGAGTAAACAGAGCTTCTATCAGCGTAAGAAACCATACAGCCCATAAACCTAACAAACTATGTCCAGTAGATGTATGATGTCAGGGGATCTAACTACCCATTAGCAAAGGCTACGGCAAGATACTAAGCATAAGAAAAGGAAAGCCACTGAATGCCTCTGTCTCCGAGCACCAAAAGCAGAGCCTCAAAGCTCCAGTTCTTCCACGAGATCCCATGCCGAGATTAGAGCTCTTGTTCTGAAATCTTTTGGCAGGCTCCCACCATTGCTGCAGGCTCTCTCACTCCCCGCCGCGACGCCGTTCGGATCATTCTTCCAATAGTTGCCCTTGTAGCTCTCGGCCCGCCGCTCTCAGCGGTTGTCTGTGCCTGCGACTCGGTCCTGCTTTCGCGGGCACGAGTAATAAACATGATGTTGCAATAACCAATAATAGGGTTTGAAGAGAAAACATATTGGTAATTTCCAAGGATAGAATATTAGTGAAGTGCAATGCCGGACAGAGGAGGAAGTCGCCTGGGGCCCCTATCCTTGAGTGCAAAGACACTCCCTCTCCACTCAAGGAGAGGTCGGATATGAGCAATCGAAGACATAGATCAGCTATGTCTTCTTCCAGTCGAGACGCCAGCCTTTCCATACGGCGTGACCACAGGACTTCGACTAGCGTACTTTCCCGCCAAGCGTCGGCCAGTCGTGGAGGGCTAAGACTTCTCGAATTAGCGCTGCCTTAGTGCTAACGCGGTGCTACCGAACGCTTACTGGTTCCCCCATCTTTTTTTTTCGCCCCTTTTCCTTTTTCCTTTTTCCTTTTTTTTAGGTGCGTGCTGTTAGGCTTTCGTTCCACCTTTTTTTTTTTTCAATAGCAGAATGCTCAGTTCCATCTGCCTTCGAAATCAATGTAACCACTTTATTAACTTATTGATAAGATTATAGGAGTGAGTAAGGGCATACTTACACTAGGAGTTTTTAACTTAGATGCATGCAAGAACGGCTGTAAATACAGTAATATACATTAAACCACCAGTACTTCCTCAAGTCGTGCCCGTTAACGCGCCACGATTTTAGGAAACGTACAGGCTACTGCAGGAGCGCCCAAATTCATCCAACTACAAACGTTTCTACTCTTTTTTTCTTCCGCGACTGATAGTTGGGCCAAGTACCGGTGCTTTAAAGATAGAGTCAGTGTGAGTACGCCCTAGTCCCTCCCTTAAACCACCAGTACAGTGTCACGACCATAGATCGGCCATGGCCCCCTCACCGTGAGTTTCGGAGGCCCAAAATGCGATGTCGGCCATTGATGAAACGGTGCGCCGGCCCCAAGCTTTTTGGAGTAGGCAACAAGTTCCTTTTCTGCAAGGTTGGGGCAGTGTACTGGCGGTTTAAACCGCCAGTACATGGCTCCAGCCTCGCTGAAAATGCGACTTGTCGCCTATAAAATTTTTAGAGGCTCGGCCTACCGGAGCATAATTGCTGCCAGCGCCAGCCAAGAAAAAAAGAAAGTATGCCACTGGCGGTTCTGAGAAGCTTGGCACGCAGTAAGGCGCCTCCAGGCCTGGGTGTACTGGTGGTTTAAAGGAGTAATACATGATGTTCAGGTTTCCTTTAGGCCCCCTTCACATGTACAGTCTCTCGAATAATTCGGCCATATCAGGCCAGATGCAACCGAATTATTTAAGATACTATACACGTGAAGGGGAACCGGATGCATCGATACACGGGGTTCAGGAGGCTGTTGAAGAACCGGGTACTACTGAGAAGTTTGCACTAGACAGGCTGCTGCAGAGAATAGGTGACGGCAAGAGAAAAAAATGAAAAGGGCACCAGGTGAAGTGAAGCCACGCACCCAGTAGAATCCTGCAGGAAATCCTTCTGGAGCACGACATCGTGCACAGGCATCTACGACCTGAGAACAGGATACCAATGCCCGAGAGCAATACCAGACGAAATTGATGACTTCAGCAGAGTGCTATGGACAGGAGCAACGACCTCACGAATGGTTCTTTCGAAAAACGTGTGAGGCGCTCACATAAATTAAAGTTTTAATTTCAATTTTTGACTGTTTTTCTTATTTTATTTTATTTTATTTTATTTGAACTTCTTCATTTTGAGACTCGCTTACCTCGAAGGGTGAGCAAAGAACCGAGGGGAGAGAGGGGCTCGTTAGACACTCCTTAGACACGTAAAATCTACAAGGACGTGATAGTTCCACCTATCCTCGGGGAATAAATCGGAAAGAAAATGTGAAAACATTTCCTCGAGGAATCCTTGTAGCGTCCTTGTGGCCCAGCCATTTCGTGCCCTAGTGCAAGGGACCTCACAAGGTCTCTCGAAGCTCAAGGATCCGCGATAATTGGAGGGGCGAAGGCACGCGTCCTCGGCAACTTTCTTTTTTCGGATGGTCCGCTAGCGGTTGCACGGACATCTTCAGGAGTCAATGTTGGCAACGGGTCGCCAATGGTCACTGTTAGAGGACGACCGTCGTCGAGGTTCGTCTTCAATTGGGGCTGTCGTCGCGGTGCGTCCCGCCAGCTTCGTACGGTTTCAACAATCGGGAAAATTGAATATTTTTCTCAATCCCCTCCCGCATCCCCACTCATGTCGGCGAGGTGTGTCGTATGCTGTCCTCTATAGTTTGCTCCCTTCATCATCGCAGATTGGTTGACCTCCACCGTCGTCGTGGAGTTATGGCCCTGTTGTATGTGTTATTGATGATCGACCTCTATCGAAGGCCTCCACTGCCGCTCCTAGTCACAATTTTTCTTGTCGTGGTCCTCCTTTACCATCTGCACATCCTCGGCTCCTCCGCCACGTCGTTGCATTGCCTCCGTCGTGTCCTCACATTGCCTGAGATCCTCCCACGCCCCCCCATCCTCCTTTCCATCCACCACCTCGCCGTCACGCGTGAAAGAAGACCGCAACCCATGGCGCAGCAAACCTGAACTACAGCCTCGGTGATGGCCACGGTATCCTGTCCTTCGACCGGATTTGATGAAGTGTCTTCCTCCTCCATGCGCGAATCTGCTGTCTCATTTTTTTCCCAAAGCAGTCTCTTGCTGACAACGAAAGAGCACGGTCGTCACAGCTGCAGCCACAGCCGTCCTCTCGATCGTCATCAACTTCGCACGTCCATTGTCAACGCCGCCCTCCATCGGTACGTGTGTTGCAATCCTAGTCAACTATGAAAAACAACAGCTGACAAACTTGCCACGACCACAGTAACCTCAGCGCCAAGTTGTCGACGATGTTCCCCACATGTGCTCGGCTCCACACATACGCACGATGGCAAGAGGAGGCGATCATGGTGATGGACCTTTGCGGGGTGCTAAAAATTTGTGACGACTTACAACGACTCCACTGCGCTGCTGCAAATGCCCGTTTCCACCGTTGCCATTATAGACACCACCTGCCCTGCGTCGCCATCGTCACGTCCAGCACACAACTCTACATTTGATTTTCGAACTGGGATGTCCATTGCTTATTAGGTTCTTTTTTTTTATCCCGCCGCCAGCGCCTTTCAAACTTTCCCACCTTCGGCAGCTGGAGCACACCGTCGCGAGACGGACATCGCCCAATTGACCAAGGCATTGCCCCCCCCCCCCAGCCAACTATAATATTGTGAAAATGGCCGAGGGGGGCCAAAAGGAATCATCCTCGGGAGACCACCCCGAGGATAGGTGGAACGACGGCGGAAATTTCCTTCAAAACCTCGAAGGAAACCTCCTTCGGCCCCGAGGACGCCACAAGGAGTGTCTAACGAGCCCTAGAGTATTTAATCGCAGATGGTGATGATTCTGCTACAGCTTGAGCAGAGGAGTAGAAAGGCTGTATGGGCGAAGCGTTGTCACACCCAATTCATGATGTAGTTGATCTGTGATAAAAAACCTCCGACTACATTGTAATTTGAGTTCCTCTCATTTCATTTCCTTCCGCCACATGGAAGAAAGCGAGTCGTTTCTTTTTTAAAGAAATAAATTATTAGTTGGGACAGCGCCCAGCATCCCTCACATCATACACTGTGGTCGGTGAGGTGAGCAAGGCACTTTGCCCAAGCTTAGCTCTAACAGCAGTTCACTGTGAAGCAAGTGTAAGTGTACGCCGACCCAAACACAAAACTTGTAGACAATCCTTAAGGACGCGATTCCTAGGATTTTGTCGTAGTTCCACCTGTCCTTGGAAATGAAAATGTGAAAACACTCCGCGGACAAATCCTCGGAGCCCGAGGATTACCCAGCCATTTCGTCCTTTGCTTGAATGGACCTCAGTCCCTTGGAGCCCAAGGATCGGTGTTTCATGGAGAGGAGAGGGCATCCACGTGGTGGTACGCCACAACCGATAATCCGGATCGCGGCGGCACCTGGTTGAAAACATGAAGAACAACTGTTTTCTTTTTTTTCCTTTTCCTCACATCGCTCTTAGGACTAGTCCTAAAGCTGACGTTCCGAGGATCAGTCGAACGAGGACGATGAAAACCCTAAAATTTTCCAAGGAGTCGTCCTCAGGCACTTAGGATGCACTTAGGAGTGTCTAACGAGGCCCTAGAACTATGCAACTGAGCAAAAGACGAAAACCATGAAGGATGTAATCTGCGAAAACAACAAACGGACTTCTCAGGCAAACATACAGAATCCGAGAATCGCTTACCATATCTCCTACCTAACCTGATACCAAATCCTAAACAGAACTTTGGGGTGTAGACGCGGTAATACAAGTTCCCACTGCATACATTTGTGATGAGAAGGAAGAGACTTGTGGTTCAAAAAAAAGATAACAAAAAAAGATTTGTGGTTCAACAGAAACACACAAAAAGAGCGAGCAAAACCAAGCTTATGTCAAAAATAATGAAAAATGAGATTCAGAAGAATTGGAAATATCCTCTCTTTT